TGCTCACGAAAGCTGAGCTGCTGCTACAGCGAAGACAGTGTCATTTCACGGTTTATTTAGAATAGCCACATTTAACTGGGGATGTGGTCCTGTTGGCGACATGCATTAGTATATGTGAAGGGAAAGAAGCCACAAGCAGTCCTGAGCCTTTAACCCAAAGCTAGGGGGCGGGGGCCGGGCTGGGCTGGGGTGCTGCCAGGGTCCCTTGTTCTCACCGGGATTCGTGCGGGCAGGGAGGCGGGAGCCATCTCCTGGCTCTGGCCCTCCCAGGGCAGTGAATCTGCCTGTGGATCTAAACAGGCCGCCAGTCAAATCCTCCTCTCCCCGTCAGGTGCCCCGCACAGCCAGCACCCGGGGATGTTGTGACAGTGGTCGCCCTGACAACCGGGGACCGCGCTGGGCCTCCGGCAGTGATTTCATTATCCTCTTGGAGTCTGAGAACCAACCAGAGCCGGCCTTGGCCCTGCTGGGACCTGGGCTTGTCCTGGACACACCCACTCCCTAAAGGACTTAGGGTTCCTTCCTAGAGCCCCGATGCCCAGTTTCCATGATGTTGGTTCATGTCAAGACCAGGGGGAATGTATGGAGCGCCGACTGCATGCCCAGCCAGGCCCTGAAGGCTGGGGGGGGGGGGGGGGGGAGGGAGACAGGCAGAACTCTTTATCTACGTGGTAGTATTCTTGTTCTCTAGGGCTTGAACTCAAGGCCCTGTGCTCTTGTTGGGCTATTTTTTTCGCTCAAGGCTGGTGCTCTGCCACTTGAGCCACAGCCCCACTTCTGGCTCCCCGCCCCCCAATCTGTTTTAATTGCTGATCTAAGAGTCTCACATCCACCCAGTTTCCTGAGTGGCCGGGATGACAGGTGTGTATCACTGGGCCTGGCTCCCTCTTGCTTTTCCGAAGAATCCGGCAGGGCCTCCTGCTTGAGCAAACCCCTAAACACACTGGGTTTGTCTCGGTGAAGAGTCTGAGTGCCAAATTTCCTGTTTCTCATTAGGGATTTCAGACACGGTTATTTTTAGCTCTGTCACATGTCTTGACTTTTTAATTTTTTTTTTTTTTGTTGTTTGTGCTGCTAAATTTATCAACCTGCTAACACAGTACAGTAATAAGGCTGGATTCCAGGCTCAGAGTTGGGCCTGCGGAAATTTTCCATCTGCCGTGGAGGTGCCAGATCGCCCCCCAGTGGGCAGATGGAGAATTGCACCTCAGGTTCAGGCTGTTCCCCCCCCCCCCCCACCTTTGCAGAAGCCAAGCCCAAGTTTGTGGGGGGCAAAAGGGAGGAGACCCCCTCACTCTGACCCCTAGCAGTGCTGCCAGATGCTGGACCTGGCCAGGACGCCCATCTTCCAGGAGTTCTGTGTCTGTGTGAAGATGGACATTTGTGCCGTGCTGTTCTGCGTGCACTTGAATTGAGGGCGCCCTAGAAATCAAACTCACCACCTTCTGCAGCCCTGCCCCCTGCCTTTGATGGCCCTGCAGCAGAGGGTGGGGGAGAGCGCCTGGGACCAGAGGCCTCGGAGGAGCGATCGCTTCTCTGTGGACACTGTGAAGAATAATCCATGGAACTGTTTTTGTATTTTTTGGAGTCTATTTCTCATGTGGTGATGACAGGGAATATTCCTATTGTGTCGGCAGCGCTAGGGTCAAACCCGTGTAGTTATTTATGCGTTAACAAGAGTTTGCTGGACTTGGGTTAAATCCTGATTTGTCTGGGAGCTGTTCACACCTGTCACCCCAGCTACTCAGGAGGCTGAGATCTGAGGATCGTGGTTCAAAGCCAGCCTGGGCAGGAAAGTCTGTGAGACTCTTTTTTTTTTTTTTTTGGGTCCAGTCATGGGGTCTGAACTCTGGGCTTGGGTGCTGTCCCTCAGTTCTTCAGCTCAAGGCTAGTGTTCTACCACTTGAGCCACAGCTCCACTTCTGGCTTTTTTCTTTTTTGCTTATGTGGTGCTGAGGAATTGAACCCAGGGCCTCATGCATGCAAGGCAAGCGCTCTACCACTGAGCCACCTTCCCAGCCCCTGTCTGTGAGACTCTTATCTCCAACTCATCACAGAAAAAGCCAGAAGCAGAGTGGCTCAAGGCGTCAAGTGCCAGCCTTGAACAAAGAAAAGCTAAGGGGCAGCACCAAGGTCCTGAATTCAAACTCTAGTATTGGCATGCACACACACACACACACACACACACACACACACACACACACACACACACACACACACAAATACCTTATTTTCCACTTAGTACCTTGCTGACTTTGAGCCAAATACTTGACTCACCTGGGCCACAGCTCCCTTGTTTAGGGCATGGGACAGGAGTCGTGTATAGCATGGAGTCATGGTGAAGGCTGAATAATAAAAAAAGTACCATCAGAGGGGTTGGCTCAGTAAGAACCCCCAGAAATAAACAGTCACAATAACTCCGTGTCCTCAGCCTTGGGGGGCTTGGCAGGAATGGCTACCAAGGCAGGCATAGTGGCTCACGCTTATAATCCCAGCTACAAGGGAGGTAAAGATTGGAGGAGGTTTGAAGCTAGTCCAGATGATGCGTTAATGAGATCCCATCTCAACCAGTAAACGCTGGGCACGGTGGCACACACCTGTCCTCCCAGCGTGTGTCAAGGATTCAAACGAGGATCAGGGTCAAGATACTGTCAGAAAAATCATGCAAGCAGGAAAGGGGAGGTGCGTGGCCTCGTGTGCGGAGACACGAAAAATCACCCAACCTAGATTAGGGGAACAAACCCCACAAACCAACCGTTCCCCCACTTGCCGCGGACATGCCAGTATTGCTTTTTCTAACATCACCTTGGAGAAGGGAACAGAAAAAAACCAGGTCAGCTGCAACCTGGCCACCAGAGCGAAGCAGGCGGCGCCCTGTGCCCGGCTCGGTGACACGGGTCGGCCAGGCCGCGCGTCTGCTCTCGGCTCCGTCTGCCGGTGCTTGCTGCCGTCCGGGCGGAGGGGTCGGTGGCTTCCAGGCTTTCTTGCTTATGAACGTGGCAGCCGTGAATTCTTCTAAAAGCCTGGAGCAGCGACGTCAGCTGAGCTCTCCCGACCCGCACACTCGAAGGGAACAGTTGCAGACGCATCTGATACACGCTGACATTGTGTGCCGGTCCTGGGACTTGAACCTGGGGCCTGGGCGCTGTCCCTCAGCATTCTCACTCAAGGGTGGTGCTCTTCCCACTTGAGCCAACAGCTCCATTTCTGCTTTTCTTGGTGGTTCATTGGAGAGAAAGAGTCTCGTGGACTTTCCTGCCCGGGCTGGCTTCGAACTGTGATCCTCAGATCTCAGCCTCCTGAGTAGCTGGGATTGCAGGCGTGAGCCACCCATGTGTGAGGTGTGTCTGTCTCTCCACCCCCAGTTCCGCCCCCTGCCTTGTGAAGGCCCCGCTTTACTTCCGACTCAGAATGTAAAAGGGAGGATCGCGGTTCTGGCTGCCCAGGTGTAAGTGTGAGACCTTACTGTGAAAAAAAAATCACAAGGGCAAAAAAGGTCTGGTGGGATGGATGAAGAGGTAGAGTACCTGCCTAGCAAGCGCAAGGCGCTGAGTTCGAACTCTGGTCCTGCCTAGGAGGGGGCTGTTGCTCAGGCGGCTGTTGGTCAGCTGATGGCCGCTCTAGGTTTGGAGGTTCGTCTGGGGATGGCTGTCTCTGGGGATGTGGCCTGGAGCCTCTCCAGCCAGCCCGGTGTGGCCGTGGGGCGGCTGAGACTCGGAGCCTCGGCCGCCTGGTCTCAGGCAGGCGCCGTGTTCTCCGGGCCACCTGAGGTGATTTTGAGCTCAGGACTTGCTGGGCAAGTGTTTGTCCTAAGCCCCGGTGTCTGCGGGGGCCGGGTGGCTCCGTGCGCTCTCAGGGAATATCTCGTGGCCGCTGGGGTTGGGGCCCTGACTATAGTCGAAAACGAGGTGTTCTCTGGTTTGCTGTTTGCCGGGTCAGTTTTTTTTTTTTTTGGTCAGTTGTGGGGCTTGAACTCAGGACCTGGGCGCTGTTCCTGAGCTGCTTTTGCTCAAGGCTAGCACTCTACCACTTGAGCCACAGCACCACTTCCAGCTTTTTCTGTGTATGTGGTGCTGAGGAATGGAACCCAGGGCTTCATGCATGCTAGGCAAGCACTCCATCCCTGAGCCACAGTCCAAACCCCAGGTCAGTGTTTATGAAGGAGGATCGAGAGATTGAAAAACATCCTTCCATGATTGCATTTTCCGAATTACTTTTCTCGTTTTAGGTAAAAGTGCTCATGAACGGATATAGTTTCCTTTTTTTTTTTTTTTAAATCTTGCTGTGTTTCCCTCCTCTTCTTTCTTTATTGTTTTTTGTTTGTTTGTTTTTTTGGGTCCGGTCGTGGGGCCTGAACTCTGGGCCTGGGCGCTGTCCCTCAGCTCTTCAGCTCAAGGCTAGCGCTCTACCACTTGAACCACAGCGCCACTTCCGGCTTTTTTCTTTTTGCTTATGTGGTGCTGAGGAATCGAACCCAGGGCCTCATGCATGCAAGGCAAGCGCTCTACCACTGAGCCACCTTCCCAGCCCCTCTTTGTTATTTTGCTGGTTTGCCCTGCCACTTGAGCCCTGCCTCTAGTCCTGCATTTTGCTAGTTCATTGGAGTTAAAGTGTAGCAGACTTTCCCGCCCAGGCGGGCTCTGAACCCAAATCCTCCTGGTCTCAGCCTCCTGAACAGCTGGGATTACAGGCGTGAGCCTCCAGCGCCAGGCCTCTTGCTTCTCACCTGAGCCCCACAGTGCAAGAGAACCAACTTGGTCCTGTATGCACTCCATGAATCCTTGCCCACGGCAGTGACCTGTGGCTGCATCTGCCTGGAAGCTTCCAGAATGCGAGGCTTTGGGAGATGCAAGCATCCTCATCCTAGGTGGAGGGATGCTCTCACTGAAGCAGAAGCACCTTGTCCCCATCCGGGGATGCCGGGGCTGGGGCGGGCAGGTTTCCTCCCTCTGGGTCTGACGTCAGTGCTTCTGAGCAGGGCCTTGTTGCTGTCTCCTCAGAGCAAGCTGGTCAAGTACTTCAGCCGGCAGCTGTCCTGCAAGAAGAAGGTGGCGTTGCAGGAGCGCAACGCTGAACTCGATGGCTTCCCCCAGCTCCGGCACTGGTTCCGGATCGTGGATGTCCGCAAGGAAGTCGTGGAGGTGACCAGAGGCCACCCTGCTCCCTCCCTTCCCCTTCCCTTTCCTCCCTCTCCACCCCCAGAACCCAGCACCCACCTGCTCCATTCCTCCCCTGGTCCAGCACTGTCCCTAGTACATAGTAGGTCCTCAATTAACGTGGCCAGGATCTCTGAAGTTCCTGGACAGGCTGGCTGAGGGCATGGCTTCAGAGTCAGCTAGAAAGCCTTCCAGCCCTCATACTTAATGGAGTCACTCTAGCCAAGTCATTTCCCTCAGTCCAGAGCTGTCCATGGAGACTTGGTTCCCAGTGGGAATACTTTTTCATCCGTGTTCTTGGCTCCATCTGCCACGTGGGACACTTGCATTGTGGCTGAGGATTGCATTTTGTGGGATGTGGCTGAGATATTGAATCACAGGGTCAGAGCCATGGTCTTCCCACGTGGAAGCCACAGGGAGCGTGGTCCTCCCTTTCTCTCACTGGCTTGGCCTGATGTACAGAGAATGTCCAGCTCATTGTCTGGCAGACCTCAGGCCTCAGCCTGGCAGGTGATTTCCCAATGGCAAAACCAAACCAGAGCATCTGGCTAGTGTCCCCCTTCAGGCTGGGTGTCCCCACTCCAGGAGGAGCCACACCCTCCATGGCCCTGACCTAGTGGAGCCACGCTCTCTCTGTAAAAGCAGAGTCATTGTTGAACCCCCCCTCCCCGTCCAGTCACTTTACCGAGGCTTTACAGGGAGAATTTCAGAGGTAGAATCATCCACACCTTCAAGACCTTTTGAGTGGACAATTATCTCCCACCCTTCTTCCCTTCCTACCTCCCTTTCCCCTCCCCCATTCCTTCTCAATTTAATGTGGAATTAATGTGCATCTAATATGGATCTTGTATTTTAATGCTCTTACATTTAATACAGATCTTGTATTTTCCTGTAATGTACAGATATGGCCACAAGAGGGCAGAAGTATCCTGGAATCCTGCCCTAGCTTAGAATCCATTCCTCCAATTTAACGTGGGAATCTGTATTTTCCTGTAATGTACAGATATGGCCACAAGAGGGCAGAAGGATCCTGGAGTCCTGCCCTAGCCTAGACTCCATTCCCTCCAATTTGAAGTGGAAATCTGTATTTTACTGTAATACTCAGACATGGCCGCAAGAGGGCAGGAGAACTCCATATTATCACCCTAGCTTAGAAGCCAACCCTCAATTTAATGTCTGTGTTTTGCCGTAATACTAAGGCACAGCCACAAGAGGGCAGGAGAATGCCATACTATCACCCTAGCTTAGCCTCCCTCCAATTTAATGTGTTTTGCTGTAATACAAGACACAGCCACAAGAGGGCAGAACTCCACGCTATCATCCTGGCCTAGTCCATCCCTCCAATTGTGCGTGTGTGTGTGTGTGTGTGTGTGTGTGTGTGTGTGTTGCGTTTTGCTGTAATACTCAGGGATGACCACAAGAAGGCAGGAGACCTCCATGATATCACCTAGCCCAGGATCATGATGACTTAGTTTAAATGACAATGATTTTTTTTTACATCGTTACCATTGATTGCTCTTGTGTGTGTGTGTGTGTGTGTGCATGCGCGTGTGCACTAGTCCTTAGACCAGGGCCTGGGCAGTGTCCCTGAACTCCTTTTGCTCAAGGCTAGTACTCTGCCACTTGAGCCATTTCCAGCTTTCTTTGTGATGAATTGGAGATGAGTCTCACGGATGCTTCTGACCAGGCTGGCTTTGAACCTCCCACCCTCAGATCTCAGCCTCCTGAGTAGCTAGGATTACAGGCGTTGAGCCACAGGCGCTCCGGTCCATTGATTGCTCTTACATGCATATATAGATACATCTGTGTTTGACAAATCTGCAGGGTTTGGGGCAGGAGCGGTGAGGCCACAGTTCCTCCACGTTGCTGGCTGGAGCCCTGCATATCTGTTCCTACCTTGGCTGTCCAGAGGCATCCTTTTCCCTACTGTGTACGATTCCCTAGCCCTGCCACATGGCCCTGGATGCCGAGTTGTGTCTCCAGGTGCTCAAGGGTCACCACTAGCACAGAGTGTGCACCTAGCAACCGCCCCTGGTGACTGCCCACAGGGACCTCGTGGCCCAGGCCCAGTGACCCTCCTTCTCCATGCCCTCCCCTAGGAGATCTGCCCCGGGCAGCTGAGCCTGGAAGACCTGCTGGAGATGACGGATGAGCAGGTGTGTGAGACGGTGGAGAAGTTCGGGGCTAACCCCGAGGAGTGTGCCCGGCTCAACGCCTCCCTGTCCTGCCTGAGGGCCGTGCACTTGTCAGGTGAGCAGAGGGGGCTGGGCAGCCTGGGGGGGAAGGTGGGTGTGGGGATGGGGGAGGGTGGATCTTGAGAGGGGTGGTGGTTTCTGGGTCCTTGTGTGGGGGAGCAGGACCCCAGATCTGAGATCTGGGCAGGGTTTACGTTCTGGAGTGCCGTCTGGACTTCTGTTTTGCCAGTTCTGGGGCTTTGACTCAGGGCTTAGCGCTTTTTTCACTTATTGCTCGTATTCTGCCGCTTGCGCCACACTTCTTGCCCAGCTTTTTGCTCTTTAATTGGAGATGGAGTGCGCAGGTCCTGGGGCTGAGCTCAGGTGCTGGGCCCTGTCCTCGAGCTTTTGTTCCCTTAAGGCCACAGCTCCCTTCAAGCTGTTTGGTGATTAATTTTGGTGATTAACTGCTGTCGTGGTTGGCTTTGAACCGCAGTTCTCAGATCCCAGCAATCCCTGTACACCTATGCACACGTGCGCACCCCGTGTGCACGCCCAGGTCTGCACACACACACCCCGTGTGCACGCCCAGGTCCGTGTGCACACATACCCCGTGTGCACGCCCATGTCCGCACCCCCCCCCGCGTGCACGCCCAGTTCCGCACACACACCCCGCGTGCACGCCCAGGTCCGCGCACACCCCCCCCCCCCGCGTGCACGCCCAGGTCCGCGCACACACACCCCGCGTGCACGCCCAGGTTTGTGCGCACACATACCCCGTGTGCACGCCCATGTCCGCACACCCCCCCGCGTGCACGCCCAGTTCAGCACACACACCCCGCATGAACGCCCAGTTCCGCACACACACCCCGCGTGCACGCCCAGTTCCGCACACACACCCCGCGTGCACGCCCAGTTCCGCACACACACCCCGCGTGCACGCCCAGGTCCGCGCACACACACCCCGCGTGCACGCCCATGTCCGTGCGCACACATACCCACGTGCACTCCCAGGTCCGCGCACACACACCCCGCGTGCACGCCCATGTCCACACACACACACCCCGCGTGCACGCCCAGGTCCGTGCGCACACATACCCCGTGTGCACGCCCATGTCCGCACACCCCCCCCCTGCATGCACGCCCAGTTCCGCACACACACCCCGCGTGCGCTCCCAGGTCCGCACACACCCCCCCCCCGCGTGCACGCCCAGTTCTGCACACACACACCCCGCGTGCACGCCCAGTTCTGCACACACACCCCGCGTGCACGCCCATGCCCGCGCACGCACCCCGTGTGCACGCCCAGGTCCGCACACACATCACCGTGTGCACGCCCAGGTCCGCGCACGCACCCCGTGTGCACGCCCAGGTCCGCGCACGCACCCCCGTGTGCACGCCCAGGTCCGCACACACATCACCGCGTGCACGCCCATGTCCGCACACACACCCCGCGTGCACGCCCAGGTCCGCGCACACACACCCCGCGTGCACGCCCAGGTCCGCACACACACCCCGCGTGCACGCCCAGGTCCGCACACACACCCCGCGTGCACGCCCAGGTGCGCACACACACCCCGCGTGCACGCCCAGGTCCGCACACACACCCCGCGTGCACGCCCAGGTCCGCACACACACCCCGCGTGCACGCCCATGTCCGTGCGCACACACCCCGCGTGCACGCCCAGGTCCGCACACACACCCCGCGTGCACGCCCAGGTCCGCACACACACACCCCGCGTGCACGCCCAGGTGCGCACGCGGCCCCGCGGGGCTCACGCTGGTCAGCCCGGGTGCGCTGCGCGCCCGTCCCGGCCGGCCCGGGCTCCGGGGTGGCCCTCGGCCCGGCCCCACGCGCCCCGCTCCTCCCCGGCGCTGCTTCGCTCTAACGACAGAGCCGGGCGGCGCTTTGGTCCCTGTGTGGCCTCTCCCGGCTCCTGCAGACCGGGCTGACCCCTGACCCTCAACCCCTGACCCTCGAGCCCTGAGTGTCACACAGAACACGGATCCAGACGAGCTGACCCCTGACCCTCGAGCCCTGAGTGTCACACAGGACACCACTCCAGCCACGCCCCGGCCTCCCCAGCTCCTTTGGCCCAGCCAGGCGCTCCTGGCTGGGCGGGGCCGAGGGTGACGGCGGGATCGCAACCCCACGGCGCAGGCGCAGGCGCAGGCGCAGGCGCAGGCGCAGGCGCAGGCGCAGGCGCAGGCGCAGGCGCAGGCGCAGGCGCAGGCGCAGGCGCAGGCGCAGGCGCAGGCGCAGGCGCAGGCGCAGGCGCAGCCCGGGAGAGCGCGGCGTGCTCCTGCGCATGCGCGTGCGCGTGGCCGCTGTCCAACAGGGGGCGACCCGCCCCAGGCCGCTCCACGCCATTCTGGAAGCTTCCATCTGGGACCCGGCTGGGAGCGTGGAATCTCCTGACTTTCACCTTAACTATCGGCGTGGCCCGAACCGGGGCTCCGCGCGGGTCCGAGTCCCGGGGGCCGAGGTGCGGGCCGGACCGTCGTGGTGGGGGTCACGGTCACCTGGGGCCGGGAAGCCCGGCCACAACGGGGGCGGGGGTGGAGGGGGCGGGGGGGGAGGGGGCGGGTGGAGGGGGCGGGGGGGGAGGGGGCGGGTGGAGGGGGCGGGTGGTGGGGGGGGGCGGGGGGGAGGGGGCGGGGGGGGCGGGGGGGGGCGGGGAAGGCCCTGGGAAGGGCAGGGAGGGGGGCGGGAGGCCAGGCCCCCCCCCCCCCTCGCTGGAGGACGGGGTCCCCAGCTCCTCTCCCGCCCCTCGGCCGCCCCTCGCGGGGCTGGGAAGCGGACCCCCCCCCAGCCTCGGCCGTCCCCCTGGCGGTCCGCCCGCAGCCGGCCGCGTCTCCTGGGAGGGGAACCGAGAGCGAGAGCGGCCTTGAGTGCTCATTGTTCGGCTCCGTCCACCTGGGAGGAGGCGGAGTGTCCGTCCACCTGGGAGGAGGCGGGTCTCCGTCCACCTGGGAGGAGGCGGGGCCCGCCCGGCCGGCCGGCGCCTGCGTGAACCCCGAGCCCCCCCCGTGAACCCCGAGCCCCCCCCCCGTGAACCCCGAGCCCCCCCGTGAACCCCGAGCCCCCCCCCAATCCGAGACGCGCGTGACACCCACCCGGAGCCACAGACACCAGGGCCAGGCGTGGCAGCGCACACCTACAGTCCCAGCGCCGCGGGAGGCAGAGACGGGAGGATCGCGGCTCGAGGCCGGCCCGGGAGCACCGTCCCGAGGCTCTGCCTGCCAGCCCTGGGACCCCCGGGTCCTGGGGAGGCGGAGCTGGCGAGGACGGTAGTCCGAGTCCCCCGCTTTGCTGCCCGGTGACGCAGCTCCTGGCCGGCCGGGGCGGGAGGCCGCGTGGACGAGGCCGGAGGCCCTGGTGCCCGACCCGGGCCGCCCCGCGCCGCTTGCCCCGGGGGACCCGGCCCCTTCCCCGGGAAGCTGGGGGTTTGGGGGGCATGCCACGTCTCTCTTCTGTCATCCACTTTCCTAACCCTTCCCTTCCACCTCCTTCCCCGGAGCTGACTTTCTCCTCTGTTTTCTTTCTTTCCCAAGACAGCAGTCAGGGTAGAAGGATCAGTAGGAATGACAGTATTCCTAACAGGGATAACAATAATCATAATAAGAATGGTAATAGACCCACACAGTGCCCTGTCTTCTGGAATCACGAGTGTGTGGCTGGAATTCCAGCTGTCTCTTTGGAGGAATCTGTTGCCAGCTAATAGCTTAGTTTTTTGTTTTTTTTAATGTTGTTTTCCCCTCTCCCCGAGCCTTGCCTCAAAGACTCCAGAGCTGAGAGAATTCTGACAACATCTGTTTAATCATCTGAAGGAGACAGGCTTCCCTAGGACGCAGCACATCCCTCCCCCCCTTCCTTTTCTCCCTCTTTTCTCTTCGGTCTCTCTTCCATTCTAGGGGTGGAGGTTCCTGGCACCCAGGCTTAGTGAGCGCAGTGAGAAGTGTGCAGGAAAGAAACGGCCTCATTTCTGAGCAGGTTCCTTCAACATCCCTGGGGAAATACAGCCGGGAGAGTGAGTGAATGGTCCGATCTTCCCACGGGGTGCTTACCAGGTGCATGGCCCCCTTCCCTCCTCCCCGGCCACCCTTCCCACCCCTCAGGTGAGGCCTCGCAGAGCTCTGGCTGGGGAAAGGCACCAACCTGTGACCGCCCGATGGTCAGGCCGCCCTGAGTTCCAGCACCATCTGCGGCCCCAGTCAGCTTGCCTAATAACACAGGGTCTGAGGTCAGGAAAAGTTGCTCAACCTCTCTGGTCCTGCAAATCCTCTCTACAAAATAGCGATACTCTTACCAGCTTATGATGTTTATTTATTTTGCCAGTCCTGGGTCCTGGGCACTGTCCCTGAGCTGCTTTTGCTCAAGGTTAGCGCTCTACCACTTGAGCCACAATGCCACTTCTGGCTTTTTCTGTGTATGTGGTACTGAGGAATCAAAACTAGGGCTTCATGCATGCTAGGCAAGCACTCTACCACTAAGCCACCTTCCCAGCCCTTAGATATTTTTAATGACAATATAATGCCTCCTAGTTAAAGAAACACACAACAACCACAACAACAATAACAATACCATGTGGTGCTGATGGACCGTTCCTCCGTGCCAGGCACTTGGTGCCCTCGCTCGGCAGTCATGCCTCTTCTTGATTCTCCACAGAGAACCCAAGCTGAGCCACTCTCTCAGGCCCGCACCTGCTCACCGGCTGGGTGGGTGGTCTCCAGTGTCTGGGCCTTAAGCTCTGGCCCATCCCAGTTTGGTTTAAGTTAATTTAGAGATAGATGTGGCCACCAGGCAGAGCTCCAGCACCTTCTGGCCAGGGGAGAGAGAGGCCCCTTGTTGCTGTGGTGCTGGCGGTGGCTGGGCCCTGCACCTCCCCGAGCAGATGCACCTCTTCCTTCTTCTCCAAAGGGCAGTCTGTCCTCCCTCCCCCGCCCCGGCTCATCCCATCCCCAGCCCCTGGCCGTGATGAGGAGCATCCAGGGCCACTGAGAACCAATCTGTAAAAAAGAGAGGGAGCAAGCCAATGGCTCACGCCTGGAATCCTAGTTCCTCAGGAGGATCAT